TAACAGGTGTATGTATGGCATCCTGTATTACCACATCTTATGCAGTAACAGGTGTATGTATGGCATCCTGTATTACCACATCTTATGTAGTAACAGGTGTATGTATGGCATCCTGTATCACCACATCTTATGTAGTAACAGGTGTATGTATGGCATCCTGTAATACCACATCTTATGCACTTACAGGTGTATGTATGACATCCTGTGTTACCACATCTTATGTAGTAACAGGTGTATGTATGGCATCCTGTAATACCACATCTTATGCACTTACAGGTGTATGTATGGCATCCTGTATTACCACAGCTTATGCAGTAACAGGTGTATGCATGGCATCCTGTATTACCACCGCTTCTGTAGTAACAGGTGTATGTATGGCATCCTGTATTACCACATCTTATGCAGCAACAGGTGTATGTATGGCATCCTGTATTACCACATCTTATGTAGTAACAGGTGTATGTATGGCATCCTGTAATGCCACATCTTATGCAGTAACAGGTGTATGTATGGTATCCTGTATTACCACATCTTATGCACTAACAGGTGCATGTATGGCATCCTGTATTACCACATCTTATGTAGTAACAGGTGTATGCATGGCATCCGGTATCACCACATCTTATGTAGTAACAGGTGTATGTATTGCATCCTGTATTACCACATCTTATGCACTAACAGGTGTATGTATGGCATCCTGTATTACCACATCTTATGTAGTAACAGGTGTATGCATGACATCCTGTATTACTACATCTTATGGAGTAACAGGTGTATGTATGGCATCCTGTATTACCACAGCTTATGCAGTAACAGGTGTATATATGGCATCCTGTATTACTACATCTTATGTAGTAACAGGTGTATGTATGGCATCCTGTATTACCACAGCTTATGTAGTAACAGGTGTATGGATGGCATCCTGTATTACCACATATTATGCAGTAACAGATGTGTGTATGGCATCCTGTATTACCACAGGTTATGTAGTAACAGGTGTATGCATGACATCCTGTATTACCACATCTTATGTTATTACAGGTGTATGTATGGCATACTGTATTACCACATCTTATGTAGTAACATGTGTATGCATGACATCCTGTATTACTACAGCTTATGGAGTAACAGGTGTATGTATGGCATCCTGTATCACCACAGCTTATGTACTAACAGATGTTTGTATGGCATCCTGTATTACCACTTCTTATGTAGTTACAGGTGTATGTATGGCATCCTGTATTACCACATCTTATGTAGTAACAGGTGTATGTATGGCATCCTGTATTACCACATCTTATGCAGTAACAGGTGTATATATGGCATCCTGTATTACCACATCTTATGCAGTAACAGGTGTATGTATGACATCCTGTATTACCACATCTTATGCAGTAACAGGTGTATCTATGGCATCCTGTATTACCACATCTTATGCACTAACAGGTGCATGTATGGAATCCTGTATTACACCATCTTATGTAGTGACAGGTGTATGCATGCCATCCTGTATTACCACATCTTATGCAGTAACAGGTGTATATATGGCATCCTGTATTACCACATCTTATGTAGTTACAGGTGTATGTATGGCATCCTGTATTACCACATCTTATGCACTAACAGGTGCATGTATGGCATCCTGTATTACACCATCTTATGTAGTGACAGGTGTATGCATGGCATCCTGTATTACCACATCTTATGTAGTAACAGGTGTATGTATGGCATCCTGTATTACCACATCTTATGCACTAACAGGTGTATGGATGGCATCCTGTATTACCACATCTTATGCACTAACAGGTGTATGTATGGCATCCTGTATTACCACAGCTTATGTAGTAACAAGTGTATGTATGGCATCCTGTATTACCACAGCTTGTGTAGTAACAGGTGTATTTATGGCATCCTGTATTACCTCAGCTTATGTAGTAACAGGTGTATGTATGGCATCCTGTATTACCACAGCTTATGTGGTAACAGGTGTATGTATGGCATCCTGTATTTCCACAGCTTATGTAATAACAGGTGTATGTATGGCATCCTGTATTACCACATCTTATGCAGTAACAGGTGTATATATGGCATCCTGTATTACCACATCTTATGCACTAACAGGTGTATGGATGGCATCCTGTATTACCACATAAGATGCAGTAACAGGTGTATATATGGCATCCTGTATTACCACATCTTATGCAGTAACAGGTGTATGTATGGCATCCTGTATTTCCACATCTTATGCAGTAACAGGTGTATGTTTGGCATCCTGTATAACCACATCTTATGCACTAACAGGTGTATGTATGGCATCCTGTATTACCACATCTTATGCAGTAACAGGTGTATGTATGGCATCCTGTATTTCCACACCTTATGCAGTAACAGGTGTATGTTTGGCATCCTGTATTACCACATCTTATGCACTAACAGGTGCGTGACTTATGGTCATCCTGTATTACCACATCTTATGTAGTGACAGGTGCGTGACTTATGGTCATTTTGTTTGATATGTTAGGTGATATATTCCACTGACTAAGGATAATACCTACCTGAGCTTTTATTATTGATTAAATAACCTGGATCTTCATAACGCTGTGAAGATTAAGGATGACTTACAAAGGGACTGTATGGAGTAAAGGGCTGCATAAATTGTGGGTTTTTTTATGATTACTGAGGTTAAGTTAATTTAACTATCATAAAGCTGATGGTTTTGCTGTAATTCTATATACTAAATACTTATCTTATTTTGTTTTAATTTATAGAATTATAGAAAACTTTCGGAAGACTTCAGATATCTATCATGTATCACTATCCTTCGTTTCTTTTGTCAAGCGAAATAGCGAGCATTGCAGTCCCATACTTTGTTAATTTTGACTGCGCTTTATTTTGTTTCTTTTGTTTCACAAACCTTAACGATTCAATTATTAAGGCTGTTTTTTGGAATTTAAGGATGACTTGTATTTCACGTGATCTGTATAATCATCTGTTTACGTATTTGAATCGTACAGAAATATTCCGCCGGCAGTGGTGGTGGTCATACTCAGATGTTATACATACTTTTGTATGTAAGGACACTGCCTGACAATCTCGATGTGATGCTGGTCATGATCTTGATGGCGGTGGTCATACTTCCGATGTTATACATACTTTTGTATGCAAGGACACTGCCTAACAATCTCGATGTGGTGCTGGTGATGTTGGTGGTGGCGGTGGTCATACTTCCGATTCTTACACATACTTTTGTATGTAAGGACACTGCCTAACAATCTCGATGTGGTGCTGGTGATGTTGTTGGTGGTGGTGGTCATACCTCAGATGTTATAAATACTTTTGTATGTAAGGACACTGCCTGGTAATCTCGATGTGGTGCTATTGTGGATGTTGGTGGCGGTGGTCATACTTCCGATGTTATACATACTTTTGTATGTAAGGACACTGCCTGACAATCTCGATATGGTGCTGGTGATGATGTTGGTGGCGGTGGTGGTCATACTTCAGATGTTATACATACTTTTGTATGTAAGGACACTGCCTAACAATCTCGATGTGGTGCTGGTGATGATGTTGCACATACTAAGGGTCAGTAATATCACTGCCTACCGTACATGAGGCTGGTAATGATGAAATAGGATCCGGAATCATCGACGGTGCATGTCGATTACTTGGTGGTGGCAATCCTTTTCATGATTACGTATGATTGAAATTTTCGAGATCACGTTCGGAATGAGCACGGGGATCATCTTGAACATATGTATGTCATTCACTGTCAATTAAAATTAAATAATTTCTTGTATCTTACAGATGGTGTTTGACATCTGACAATGGCCTTCCGCACATTTTACACCAGATATGAAGATACAGTGGGAATAGCTTTTGAGGTGTATGCCGCTGCGGTGTACAAACATCCGTGGTTAATTTTAGGCTTCTGTGTCCTATATAACTGCTTATTTAGTCTGGGTTTCTTGCGATTTAGCACCGAGACCGACATGGAAAAGTTATTCACACCTAAAAACAATGAAGCATTAACAAATATGAAGAAAATAAACGAAATATTTCAAAATAAATCTAGAAACAGTTTTTTCCCGAAAGCTTTAACCAATCTCAATAAGCATGTATATGGAGGTTTAATAATACGATCGAAAGACGGTTCAAACCTCCTGAGGGAAGATGAACTAAGTGAGTTAAGGAGGATTGACAAAATCATAAGAAAGGATGTTCAGTTTGTGAACGATTCTGGTTCCGTTTTACATTATGAGGATGTGTGTGCCCGTAAAGACAGGAGGTGCGTGGTCAGTGGGGAGTTCATATTGTCCAAGAGGTTTACGATATTGAGGAAGGCACGCCGCATTCTCTATCCTAACTTCGCGGGCAAGAGTCTCTCGACCGTGTTTGGTAATGTGGGCGTAGTGGATGGTCGCCTGGTATCCGCCTCAATGCTACGCATGATGTACCATCTCCGACAGGACACTGATGAGGACAGGCAACGATCGCACGCTTGGGAGACCAGCTACGTGGATAAACTGAAACGTCTTCAAACAAATATAACTCACATTGCATTCAGAAGCTCAATGTCAGTTACCGCAGAATTCGTAAAAGGTATATTTGGCGAAAAAAAGTTCTTCGTTCTAACTATACTGTTTATGTTGCTTTATTCCACTTTTGCGATTTCTGGCGGAAATTGTGTGTCTGGACGTCATACCTTGGCTGCCGCAGGGGTTATTTCCACTTGTCTGGCCGTGCTAGGGGCGTTCGGAGCGGTTAGTGGAGCAGGCGTCAAATACGTCAACATCTGTGGTGTGATACCCTTCCTTATCGTAGGTAAGTACGTTTGTTGCCCACGGTACAGTTCATGTATGTTAATAAAACAGTACATTGTAATGACAATTACATGAAGATCAACATAAAGCTCCCCGAACTATTGGGAGGTACCGCGTAGAAGTACAAGAGCCAATTTCATTGCATTAATCAGCTAGGGCTTCATTTTCGATGTCTTAACGTTACTGATATCAGGACAGTAATGAACACCTGTGACAAACGGGACGACTTAGATTTAACAATCGTTAAGTATACTAGTCTCCGAATTACTGTTACGATTGAATCGCATCTCGATAACATTGTAGAATACATCTGGGTGGCTGCGATTTGTTCACCAAAAAATTGTTGTAATATTTTAATCGACAAGGCTTCGATTTCTATTGAAAATATACTACATGTATAATGGTGGTTTGAGCAAGGGAAATCAGTGTCTGCCATGATAAAACATGTTTCCTGTATCTGAGGTGCCAGGCCTAGGTTTCAGTTCCGAAGTGGTTGATAAGGGACATCAAGCTTATTTTTAAGTGTCCTACAGCCTCTTAGCTTCTGCAGGTAACTGGAAAATCCTTCTCCGAACACGTGGTCCTCTTCTCCTTCTACGTTTTCAATCGTATCCATGTAAATATTTCCTTGGTTCATGTATTTCACTTGTTTCCCACTTTTTGGGTTCGAAATACTGTTGTGATAAAACTTTGGTATTCTTTGTTTTTAATAGACGGTTGATGAAGTGATACCGTGTACGTGAGTTCTCTAAAGCTAAGTAACATGACATGCTACAATTGTTTACGTGTTATATATATAAATATGTTGTGATAAAGGTATCGGTCTGGACGACATGTTTATTCTGATGGCGTGTATGGCCGACACCCCGAAGACCATTCCTGTGAAAGATCGAGTAAAGCGGATGATGAGGACCGGTGGTATATCAGTAACCATGACGTCACTGACGGACTTTCTGGCATTCCTGATTGGCTCCACCTCCGTGTTCTCTAGCGTACAGTATTTCTGTACATACACAGGTAAACAGCTAAATCATAAAGCTATTCGAGAGTCAGGTATAAAATGAACGCAGATGGATCTTGATTATTAATTACGGGATTATGCCTAAACTAGAGTATTCGGCTATCCTCGTTCAAACTATACAATCTCCATTTTTTTATTCGATACTGTAGGATATCCCACGCATCTCACCTTCTGAGAAAAATATTTTGCTGTTAGAAAAGAAAATTTACAACTACCGCGATTTTCTGTACCGTAGACAATGTTTCAAGTAACAATCATGGTAGTATGACTATTCTATCTTAAGATTGCTATGACATCACATCGTAGTGCGCTAGCTAAGTTTAGGTGTGGGGTTGCACCGATACGCATCGAAACAGGCCGGTATGAGAGAATACCTTTGAGTGAAAGAAAGTGTTTCGCGTGTAAAAGCGTGGTAGAAACAGAGAGTCATGTTTTAATAGAATGTAACTTGTATGATGATCTCCGTTCAGGTCTATTGAAGGAGGCTAGTAAAATCACAAATGATTTTTACAATATGAGTAAAGATGAAAAGTTAGTTGTAATTCTAAGCAACCCTTACTTGGCGAGGTCCTGTGCCAAAACCTGTGTTAATATTCTCAATCGACGTCGCAATTTGATCTATAATTAAGCAGTAATGTGTCTTTTAATGTCAATTATTTTTATAGTTTTATATTGGCAAATTGTTTTTAATTCATAAGTATGTATATATATGTAATACTTTTACAGTCTAGAATGATAGGAGAAGAGTGAGTGTCTCGTAAGTCTAATATAGACTGGATGTAAGGGTGGGTGAGTAGACATAATTTAGAGATTGTAATAGTTGTACCTTTTACATGCGACACTATAATAAACTAATTTGAATTGAATTGAATACATTTTAGGTGTAGCTGTGCTGTTCTGCTACCTGAACCAACTACTTTTCTTCGTACCCTGTATTATCATTAACGAGAGACGTACGTTTGAGTGGCGTCACTGCATCACGTGTCAGGAGACGCGATCGTACAAACAACTAAGGGAAGCGGACCACGGCGTGGCACTTAGTCTGTGTTGTGGTGGGGAGCCCCCAAAAACACCATCAGATAGCGAAAGTCCTCTAGAGAGATACCCCAAACGCCTGATACAAAAAGTAATTTCCACTACGCCGGTAAAGGTGGGGTGTATGCTGCTGTTCATGGGATACATCGGAATGTCTATTTATGGTGCCGTGAATGTCAGTCAGAACTTCAAGGTCAGTTACCTTGTGCCAGAGGACTCGTACGTGTACCGATACCTGACATGGACAGAGAGGGACTTCCCGAACGAGGTGGTAGTATCTTTTGTGATCCATAGGGAACTCGACTACACTGACCACGCAATACAAAGCAAGGTGGCCGCCATGTTAAAAAGGGCCCGAATAGAACCACTAATACAGAGGAAACGGGAAATTAATTGGCTACTAGGGTATAAACAATCACGGTTTTACAATGTTTCTAATGATTTTATACAAGGTCTAAAAAGGTTTTTGAAATCCCGGAAGGATTATGAAATTGATGTTGTGTTAGATGAGTCAGGATACAAGATAAAGTCCTCGCGATTTTACGTGATATCAAAAGACATACGAGATTCCCAGATGACGAAGTCACTGCTAACTGGTATGAGGACCATCGCCAAGGAATCGGGTCTACCAGTCATTGTGCACGCGCCTTTATTCATCATTGGCGAACAATTTGTGGCCATTGGTACGTCGACGCTACAGACCATTTTTATTGCCATGGCTGCCACATTGGTGACCACCACGTTAACGATGCCACACCCCTTAATTGTTATCATGGTGTGCGTCAGCATGGTAAGCATTCTGACGGGTGTGTACGGCTTCATGTACATGTGGGAACTAGGTCTTAGCTCAATTACTATGGTTCAGCTCATCATGAGCATTGGATTCTCCGTCGACTTCAGTGCCCATATCTGTCACTCCTATGTCACAGCTGACGGCTCCACCAGAGCCCAACTAGTTGGAACAGCCATCTCTCGAGCTGGAGGTGCAATTATCAATGCAGCGATGTCGTCCATCATTGGCGTCCTTATGCTAGCCTTTACAACATCATATGTTTTTAAGTCATTTTTCAAAATTATGTTCCTTGTGAGTGTGTTTGGCCTTATGCATGCCTTACTGTTCCTGCCGGTGGCGTTAATTGTATGTGGTCCACGGCCAAAGGCAACAAAACAAGCAGAAGAATCTGCCACGGCGCCGTCCACAACAATATCAATGATAACTTCATCCGACGAGAGAGAGCATGCTGGACCGATAAACAACTTGTTCGCAACTGCAGAAAGCCAGAAACAAAATATTACAACACAACCCGCAGACATTTAAAATCGGGGAACACGGCTATAATTATAAAAAAATATTGCTCGTCATTAAAACTGTCCCATTCGTTACTTTTTGTCACGGGAAGACGACAGAAGTTTTGACACCTAATTGATACGTATGTCAAGAGCCTTGCACCACAGGTTACGTAAAACCCATAGCTGTCTGTATACAACGATACTTCTGTTCCCCAGCCAGCAAAGGCGTCAACAGCTTACGTTAAACCATAGCTGTCTGTATACAACGATTCTTCTGTTCCCCAGCCAGCAAAGGCGTCAACAGGTTACGTTAAACCATAGCTGTCTGTATACAACGATTATTCTGTTCCCCAGCCAGCAAAGGCGTCAACAGGTTACGTTAAACCATAGCTGTCTGTATACAACGATACTTCTGTTCCCCAGCCAGCAAAGGCTGAGTCAAATCGAAGGTATAATCCTTGTTTTTACCATTTCAATTAATGACATTCAATATTTCAAAGTGCGGAAAATGTTACACCAGCTTTATTACACCGCCTTTTAACGTTAGATAGCACGGTCTATGGTGGCTTATTACACCGCCTTTTTAACGTTAGATAACACTGTCTATGGTGGCGTGAAACCAAGCCATAGTAGTACTAGTACTTAAAAACAAAACACTCTGCAGTCAGTGTTTTCATACTAACTTTAATAGTATCTATTGGTTCAGGAATGGAATATTTTCAAAGACTGCTAGAAACTTGACTAAAAGGGACATACCATAAAATCACTGGTGAATGTTTATAACAATCAATTTAGACCCTTTAAACTGATTAGGTCAAACTAATTCACAATCTGACGTCACACTGAACCCATCTGGCAAGTATGTTAACGGAACTAGTTAAAGCAACTAGAAAATGTTTGTGCAACATACATGTCTCTGCTCATGACAATGAAAATGGAACTAAATCCAAAGAAACCGAAGTCAGTGATATAGAATATATAGATCACAATGACCTACATATAATTACTGTTGCAATTCAGCTCAAGATGTATCCTCATATGAAGTTTGCTGACAGTTGACATTTCGTTAAAACTCTAACCAGATTATATGGACAAATAGACCAACTAACAGAAAGGCAAATACTTAATAACAAAAACATATGTCTAAGACATTTTACAATTTTACACAAGAGATCCATGAGGCACGTAGTTTCACTTGTTTTTCAACCGTTAGCCATCTTGGTTTCCTTTTTACCCAAATAAGTTCAACAAATATGCTTGGTAAGTGAACTGGGTTTGGGAAAGTCGAAGATGACAAAGAGTTATTATGACTAGCCTTATTAAAATTTACCTGTTTACTGTTATGGGGGCACATACCTTTGCTTCCAAGAGGAGACCCTTTATTTCAATAAAAAAAAAAACACCTTCCTTTTTGTAGGGATACTCATACCAACCCAACATCCCTTCACTTGAGCGCAAGGGGTAGATTTAAAAGCTTAAAGTTATATATACATTCTGCCTATCACCCTGCTGCCTCCAGAGAGGTAAAATACAGCCTTCATTTATACATCATTACATTGTATATACATATTGCTACGGTATACATGATCGTATTGCATTACTTATCCAGACTTCATACATCCAGTTAAAGGCTGTCAGAACTGTTGATATGATTCGGTATACATGTATATCAGAGACAGGGGATAATGTTAGTTTAATGATTCGGTATACATGTATATCAGAGACAGGGGATGTTAGTTTAAAGATTCGGTATACATGTATATCAGAGACAGGGGAGTTAGTTTCACGATTCGGTATACATGTACATCAGAGACAGGGGATAATGTTAGTTTAATGGTTGAGTATACATGTACATCAGAGACAGGGGAGTTAGTTTAATGATTGAGTATACATGTACATCAGAGACAGGAGAGTTAGTTTAATGATTCGGTATACATGTATATCAGAGACAGGGGATAATATTAGTTTAATGATTCAGTATACATGTATATCAGAGGCAGGGAATGTTAGTTTAATGATTCGTATACATGTATATCAGAAACAGGGGATAATGTTAGTTTAATTATTCGGTATACATGTATTTCAGAGACAGGGGATAATGTAAGTTTAATGATTCGGTATCCATGTATATCAGAGACAGAGGATAATATTAGTTTAATGATTCGATATACATGTATATCAGAGGCAGGGTATGTTAGTTTAATGATTGAGTATACATGTATATCAGAGAGAGGTGAGTTAGTTTAATGATTTGGGATACATGTATATCAGAGACAGGGGAGTTAGATTCACGATTCGGTATACATGTACATCAGAGACAGGAGAGATAGTTTAATGATTCGGTATCCATGTATATCAGAGACAGGGCATAATATTAGTTTAATGATTGGGTATACATGTTTATCAGAGACAGGGGATAATGTAAGTTTAATGATTCGGTATACGTGTATATCAGAGACAGGGGAGTTAGTTTAATGATTGAGGATACATGTACATCAGAGACAGGGGAGTTAGATTCACGATTCGGTATACATGTATATGAGAGACAGGGGATGTTAGTTTAATGATTCGGTATCCATGTATATCAGAGACAGAGGATAATATTAGTTTAACGATTGAGTATACATGTATATCAGAGGCAGGGAATGTTAGTTTAATGATTTGGGATACATGTATATCAGAGGCAGGGTATGTTAGTTTAATGATTTGGGATACATGTATATCAGAGAGAGGTGAGTTAGTTTAATGATTCGGTATACATGTATATCAGAGGCAGGGAATGTTAGTTTAATGATGCGGCATACATGAATATCAGAGACAGGGGAAAATGTTAGTTTAATGATTGAGTATACATGTACATCAGAGACAGGAGAGATAGTTTAATGATTCGGTATACATGAACATCAGAGACAGGGGATAATGTAAGTTTAATGATTCGGTATACATGTATATCACCGAAACGGGATAATGTTAGTTTAATGGTTGAGTATACATGTACATCAGAGAGAGGGGAGTTAGTTTAATGATTTGGTATACATGTATATCACCGAAACGGGATAATGTTAGTTTAATTATTCGGTATACATGTATTTCAGAGACAGGGGATAATATTAGTTTAATGATTGGATATACATGTTTATCAGAGACAGGGGATAAAATTAGTTTAATGATTCGGTATACATGTATATCAGAGACAGGGGATAATGTTAGTTTAACGATTGGGTATACATGTATATCAGAGACAGGGGATAATATTAGTTTAACGATTGGGTATACATGTATATCAGAGACAGGGAATGATGCTAGTTTAATGATTGGGTATACATGTATATCAGAGACAGGGGAGTTAGTTTAATGATTCGGTATAAATGTATATCAGAGACATGGGATAATGTTAGTTTAACGATCATGTGTAATAGGGATACACGATATGGGAATCAAATACACAGGTACTGTGTTACATAACACACGTTTTCGTTATGGATTGCTTACTGTGTCAAAAGCCAGACATTTACTGAAATGACTGATTCGGGTCATGCAAATGCGTGACAAAAAAATGCTTAAGTAAAGCAGTTGTCGGAGAAGCAAATCGACATTTAATTCAGACAAGTATGTTTCACTAAAGCACTAAGGACTAAATGCAGGCTACTCCTTATTACTAAAGCAGTCGCCGTGACGCCTGCTGTGGGTCATCATATGTATGCTAACTACAAACGAGTCTTGTCCTCGTAAATTATAAGGGCTCCAATAATTCCCTGTCAATCAAGAGATTGATATCATGCTAAGATATTCATGAAGTACAAAATCAATATACAATATATATATAGGTATAAACAAATAAGACAGATTTCAGCTGAATATGACTAGGTAAATATAGGATTAACCATACTAAAGAGTCACATGCTAACACATGTAGAGGTATTATTGATGTTAATTCAAAATAAATAAAATAAAATAATATCTGATATCACAGACAATGACACAAGCATGACTAATACATAAACCACACAGTATACATAATCAACTCAAGGCAGTAATAAAAAATATTATCACAAAATTGACACCTGTATCAATTGCTTATCAACATAAGAATGAATATATGTTCACAATTCTAATCATTAAACATCACATGTAAATGTAAAGATAGCTTTAACTTTGAATAAGTCGTTAAAGCATTTAGAAAAGTTGAGATGCATACTGTACACATCTCAATAAACATTATCTAAATCTGTAACTGATCAATATCTGCCATCAATGTGTCAAAAACAACACACTAGATAATGTATCAAAATACTTGGTGGTAACACATCACAAATCACAATGTTTTACCCTCATAGATAATGACACGTTTATATTGGGTAGCTCCTAAATATTAAACAACATAAGAGCATCCCAATGAATGTAGTAAAAAGACAAATCAACAAAATGTATATGAAAATATCAAATTCGTTATAGAAATGTACAAAATAGACATAAAAGAATACACAATATGTAAAAAAGATCAACAATCTAACTTGTTTTCTTATTTCATATATAATAATGTGTTGTGAAGATTAAGAATATTGAAGTGTGCATACAATAATTATGAATGTCAAAAACAGGATTTTTTTTGAGGCATTCTTTTTTTGGAAATGTACACAGCAAGGAAGGTTAAACACATAGATCTCTGCACACTCACGTGTACCTTCATTTCTGGAAAAAGTTTGGTATGTATTATTGTGCAATTAGTTTCCGATGGAACAATGTTTTATCTTCATTTATCCACTTTTTCTATCAGAACAAACAATGAAATGTTAGGTAGCAGTATACAGTAGAAATGGCCCGACTCTGATAAACAAGGCACATGTCGAGGAAATGTAAACACAGCGAATTTACCCTACACAACACAAGTATACATGTATATATATTTGTAAACTGCATTACATTTACAATACATATAAAGTACTGAGAAGTGTATAAACCTCTTTTTTCTATGTATGTCACTTGTGTGAAAACCATGGTTACCACATCAAAAATTACCAAAAACTGCCAAAAATTGCTATTTTCAACCCAAAATTTGACCCCCACAACTAGTAATTTTTTTCCTAAGCTCTGTCAGAAATTAAAGATTACCTTCCTGGTTGCAGAATTATCTGGGTCTCAGTATAGTTGTAAAACTTGATTTTTTGCAATTTTGCGTCGTGTGCTGTTGTCAAAATTTTACCTCCTGTAAAGCTAGCTTTTCATGTGTACGCACCCTTTCGGATTATGGCCAAAATTTTATTCTCGAAACAAAAAAATCTTCTTTCTTTTTTACAAATGTGAAGCTCACATAGCCCACTTCATCATGCTTATACCAATTTTAGTACAGTTTTATTTTTATATTTTTTTGTACATATCATTATACAGGGGTTAGCCATTTAACAAAAATATCACCACAACCCTCTACTGTACACAGCTACCTTAGTTAAGCAAAATGTTCTTAGTCATTGATAGTTTAAAACTTGGCAATACCACCATAGAATGACAGATCAGTATAACATTTGACTACAGCTTATACAAAAGTACTCAATATTCTGTTCGACAAACATGGGACATGTATAACTGTGTCTACATCTTGGCATAACTATTGCCTCCTGAAAATTCCTTCTTGAAACAGTTCTTTCCAGTAATATCGTATCAAATTGGTCACATAATGCTGAAAAATGATAAGCACTTAACACATTAGCTCATACAGGTAACTTTTGTTCGTAACACTCTCTCCCTGCCAAGGGTATCTCCTAAAATTGACCAAAATTGTTGGCTTCCAAATCAAATTTGGTTTACATTAACAAGCAACTGATTAGATTTTTTGTGGACAAGTCATGCCAGGTAACATTTATATGAAGAACTAAGGCTTTTAGCTTCGGAAATTTCTGACATGCTGCATGATACAATGTAATGTTTTTATCGCATAAAGAATTGTCAACACAGAATTGATACAAAAAACTGTAATAACACTGTTTACCACTAATTGGTCTGAACGTACAGAAAAGCTATTTTCAGCACTGGTGTACTGTCGGTATGCATTATTATGAGAATCAACCATACTGTTACTAGAAAATGTAAGTAAGACATGAATGACCCCATCACTATGCGAAATTAGTTGCAGTGTTTTACGGGAAGGGACGTGACGCGACGTACATGGGCAACACTATCTGCCCCCCCCCCCTCACCCATTTTATGGTAGGGTATAAAACGGCATATTTTAATGATTTCTTTTTACATGTGCTATCTGTACATTATAAATCTTTCCTTTACAAAGAACCAGAACCATGTCAATTTGTATGTCAAACATAAACATAGGTTTTGTGTGTCTTCTGATTATGTTACTGTATAACATGAACAGTTTGATGCTTTTGCAGTGACAGCAGAACCACAATTATTAGGAAAATGAAACAGAAGCAATATCAATTAGGTATACATTGTAGTAATGTAAATACCATCATGTATGTTGCAAAGGTTTCCCAAAACAACTACTTATTCTGCCGTCATTTCATCTGAACTTGAAACTGAAAATCTACTCAGTGAAAAGAAAGTACCACTATCGTTGGACCATACAAAAATTGATACGTTCACATGTGAAGATATAACGTTTCATATAAGACAAAAAAAATTATCGAAAAAGTTATTCCTCATATAACCTGGTAAAAATGTAATGAGTTGTTGTAAGTAATACAGCATTAAATTAGTATATGTAAAAATATAAAAATTAATATATATTAACTACTGTTTGAAAATTCAAAGTAAAAAAAAATACACTGTATATTATATGCAAATATCTTTGTTATTTATCACATTTTGTACTATATATCACAACTGATCAACACATATTTTTCTATAGATATGAATACACTACAATGCATATTCTCTTTCATTATGCTCAGTCTGCAACATTAAACGTTGACCCGAATTATAGCTCACCTGCCCCGAAGGTCCTAGTGAGCTATTAGGATACGTTGCCCTCCATCGTTTACTGCATGTTGTCCATCCGGAAAAGTTTCTTAAAACTTCTTCTCAAAACTCATAAGGCCAATAGCAACCAAATTTAATAGGAAGTATCCATATAAGATGATGATTCAGATTTGGTAAGGAGAAAGGGCTGGCGCCTTCGTGGTGCACAAAAGGGCCAAAATAGAGGTAAAATTTGAGGTTTATAAAAATAATCTTCTTATAACAAACCAGCAGTCAGATAATTGTGTTATTCATTATGTCACACACTAAGCAGGTGCCACAAACTTTATAAAGGGAAACAAAATATGTTTATAAAAGGGCCACTAGCCTAGAGTCGTGATGTTTGGTCAGATGATTGCTGTCAATGAATGCTACAAAGTATAAGAAAAAAATTACCTTGACTAACATTCAAGGTCACATGGGTCAAATCCGTTAAACACTCACAGAGCTTTTTAAGATAATCGAAGAAAAGACCTCGAGTTATGATAAAGCAGCTTGCTGGCATAGAACTTTTCAAAGTATTGGGGAAAAAATGACCTTAACCTGTATTCAAGTTTACAAGGGTCAAATTTGTAACACAGTCAAATGGCTTTTTTTCTAAAACAAAAACAGGTCAAGAGTCATGAAGTATTGCCAGTAGCTTCCTGGCTTATGAGTGCTACAAAATTGGGAAAAGAAATTACCTTGACCTCTTTTCAAGGTCACAGGGGTCAAGTTTGTTTAAACACAAAATGCAACTTCTGAAGAACCAAGATGTTTAAAGTCATGATGTATTGTCAGTGGCTTACTAGTATAGACGGATAACATATTTGAAATACTAAAATAACTTACGGCTAACCTAGATTTATATTTAAGGTTGCAGGGGTGAAATTAATTAAAACACTCAAAGAGCTTTATTCTGAAGCACCAAATGTAATATATCACGATAAGCAGTCAGTTACTTGCTGGCATTAAGTACTGAAGAGTTTGTGAAAGAAATGACCTTGTCCTATATTCAGTATCACATGCATCAAATCTGTAAAAGCTCTCAAATGACTTCTTCTGAAAAACAAAGCGACCTGAATATATAGTATGTAGCTTGTTGGCATGGAGCACTAAAACTTTTGACATATGAATAAGTAATAAGGCTTATAGAATGATACTCTTTGGCCAGAAGTTTGTTGCACTATAGTGGTGAGCTTTCCAGGTCCCTTGGGCCTCTTGTACAAATAGGGATCGTATCTGGAATTGAATCCTCTACTTAGAGTGAAGAGAAAAAACATAATTCCCCATCCCCCAGTACAAAGGAGTTTAAAGTGTTTAGGGATTAAAACACAATCCTATTAATCCTGTAAAAATGAATATATAGTGTCGTGGGACACAACATATTCCTCTTTACTCCTCAACAAAGGAGTATGCAATTATACTTTCATTGCTGAATTGCTGGTTTTCTTACAATAAACAAGACGAGATTGATGCAAAAGAAAGCATTATTATAATACAAAATGGACTTTTGATCTAACATATTCCTACTTTTGATTAAATATTTTCCTACTTTTTAAGCATAGAATTGAGAGGATTAGAGTATGATACTAAATGATATATAGGGAAATTTAGCATCAGTTATGAATATGGAAATGGTATTGAGGAGATTTATTCAGGACATACTTCAGTCCTATGATACTTAGAGATCAGTAAGGCAAAATTATTGCGGAAAAAGTTATTTGAGCAAACATTGTAATTAAACAAGAACGCTTCTATTATGGCACATGATGCTGTAGCCAGAAATTTCTCACTGTTATTAGTTTGGCGTTTTGCAGTGAACACAGTTTGACCAGACATACGAGTCATAATTCTGTAACAGTTAAAGTATAAATATCAACTATTGCCCTAAGTTAACAAGGCTACAGTATCATACATGTTTTGCTCACTGCTTTATCTTGGTAAAGGCTGTCTTTGTTTTCTTCAGTGTCTCTGTGTTTGTTCGTCGGAGGGACAGGAGACGTAGGGGTGGGAGTGTTTGGAACAGAATTGACCTGTGAAATAGAGGCAACTGTGGAATCCTGATGCGAGTATTTGTGAGCATTCTCGTTTTCATTATTGGATGGAGAGTCTGGGGCGGTCAGGTCCTTGGGCTGTTCTACCGTCTCCTCACCTAATGAGCTGTCTAGTGTTGTCATGGGAACAGCTATTGCTGCTAACGTGTCCCCACCAATTCTTGTTGGTGAGCCACCAGTGGCCACTTCCTGTGTCTCTACACTATCTTGTTGAACAGGGGGTAATTCCATGTGTCCCTTTTCTACACTATCAACATCCACTTCAGTAGGAGTCTCTTGTGAAGTCACCCCCAAAGGGATCTCTGAAGTGTCCTCATTATTTGACTTTTTGTTTCCCCTCCTCCCTTTTTTCTGATGTTTTTCTCCCTCTTCTATCTGATGTTTTTCTCCCTCTTCTATCTGAGGTTTTTCTCCATCTTCTATCTGAGGTTTTTCTCCATCTTCTATCTGAGGTTTCTCTCCATCTTCTTTCGGAGGTTTCTTTCTCCTTTCTTTCTTTGGTTTCTTCTCCTTTTTTTTCTTTTGTGAGTCAGAGCCCTGAACTGCCTGAGCGGCCTGAATGATGGCTGCCTTGTCCAATGTTGAAGCTGTACGTGACAGGGTCATCTTTGTGTGTCTCTCAACCTCAGCCACATCTTCAGCTACAATGTCAAACCAAGAACAGCAATGGGACAGACAATGTCAGCACACTATTGACTATCAACATTTACACCATATATGTATGTTCACTGTTAATTCTGATATTGTTCTAATGCTGTGATATGATCAGTATAGTACTGTGCCATAGCTATGAGACATCAAGTTTGAAGCAGTCCAGATAACTATGGCGGACACAAGCAGTACAGTAATTTGACAGTTGAGCCATTTTGTGCCATTTATCTTGTCTTCTCATTTAACATCAGTATATTAATGAATCCTTATCAAACATAGTTGTGCAGATCTCCAGTTACAGCTTAACAAGCAGACAAAGTGAAAACTACATATAGTCCTCTATACTCTTGGCTAGGTAGATAAAAATGGTAGAGACTTTTAATCAAGACTTCCCATCTGTAATGCAGTCTTAACCAATAACCTGAGACAGAACAATCACTAAAACTCACCAGTGTTGTTAAATGTCCTGCTCTGTAAAGCAGTAGGCTTGAAAGTGAACGGCAGGTTCTGCGACAGCCTTAAAGCCTCCATCATGGCCTCCACCCACACTTGGTTGGTGGACTTCTGTTGGACCTCCGTCACGTTTTCACTTAACACTGTCACCTTCAGCTTAGCGATGTGCTCTTTACATAGCCAGATAATCTTCCCAGTCGGCAAACGACACCTTCAAATCAGAAATATTCTAGAATTGCTCATGTGTAGCAAACAAATAAAAAAATCTTGACCTTAAATTAAAACGACTTGGCTTACCTTTTAAGTTTTCCTTTCTCTGAGTTTGAATCCATTTCAAACACCTTCTGACGTAGTTGCTGATAACTTGTCTCAAAATTGTTGCCACCTTTCAAAGTCAGCTGTTCAGACAGGAAACACAACATGTCATTAAAATATTATATATTTTGATAATTAGATTCTAAGTTTTTTTATCATCACTAAACATTTAGATAGGATAACAGGATATCATTCTATGAAAACCACTTTTTATTTCTTACCTTCACAATGACTTACCAGGTAAAATTGTCAATAATTAACACAAATACTATACTGCACAACACCCAATGACTTTTCCAATTGATATATATTCAACTTCTGTATCTTCCCACTATAACATATTCGCCTTCTGTATCTCCCCACTATAACATACACACCTTCTGTATCTCCCCACTATAACATACTCGCCTTCTGTATAACCCCACTATAACATACACACCTTCTGTATCTCCCCACTATAACATACACACCTTCTGTATCTCCCCACTATAACATACTGGCCTTCTGTATAACCCCACTATAACATACACACCTTCTGTATCTCCCCACTATAACATACACACCTTCTGTATCTCCCCACTATAACATACACACCTTCTGTATCTCCCCACTATAACATACACACCTTCTGTATCTCCCCACTATAACATACACACCTTCTGTATCTCCCCACTATAACATACACACCTTCTGTATCTCCCCACTATAACATACACACCTTCTGTATCTCCCCACTATAACATACACACCTTCTGTATCTCCCCACTATAACATACACACCTTCTGTATCTCCCCACTATAACATACACACCTTCTGTATCTCCCCACTATAACATACACACCTTCTGTATCTCCCCACTATAACATACACACCTTCTGTATCTCCCCACTATAACATACACACCTTCTGTATCTCCCCACTATAACATACACACCTTCTGTATCTCCCCACTATAACATACACACCTTCTGTATCTCCCCACTATAACATACACACCTTCTGTATCTCCCCACTATAACATACACACCTTCTGTATCTCCCCACTATAACATACACACCTTCTGTATCTCCCCACTATAACATACACACCTTCTGTATCTCCCCACTATAACATACACACCTTCTGTATCTCCCCACTATAACATACACACCTTCTGTATCTCCCCACTATAACATACACACCTTCTGTATCTCCCCACTATAACATACACACCTTCTGTATCTCCCCACTATAACATACACACCTTCTGTATCTCCCCACTATAACATACACACCTTCTGTATCTCCCCACTATAACATACACACCTTCTGTATCTCCCCACTATAACATACACACCTTCTGTATCTCCCCACTATAACATACACACCTTCTGTATCTCCCCACTATAACATACACACCTTCTGTATCTCCCCACTATAACATACACACCTTCTGTATCTCCCCACTATAACATACACACCTTCTGTATCTCCCCACTATAACATACACACCTTCTGTATCTCCCCACTATAACATACACACCTTCTGTATCTCCCCACTATAACATACACACCTTCTGTATCTCCCCACTATAACATACACACCTTCTGTATCTCCCCACTATAACATACACACCTTCTGTATCTCCCCACTATAACATACACACCTTCTGTATCTCCCCACTATAACATACACACCTTCTGTATCTCCCCACTATAACATACACACCTTCTGTATCTCCCCACTATAACATACACACCTTCTGTATCTCCCCACTATAACATACACACCTTCTGTATCTCCCCACTATAACATACACACCTTCTGTATCTCCCCACTATAACATACACACCTTCTGTATCTCCCCACTATAACATACACACCTTCTGTATCTCCCCACTATAACATACACACCTTCTGTATCTCCCCACTATAACATACACACCTTCTGTATCTCCCCACTATAACATACACACCTTCTGTATCTCCCCACTATAACATACACACCTTCTGTATCTCCCCACTATAACATACACACCTTCTGTATCTCCCCACTATAACATACACACCTTCTGTATCTCCCCACTATAACATACACACCTTCTGTATCTCCCCACTATAACATACACACCTTCTGTATCTCCCCACTATAACATACACACCTCCTGTATCTCCCCACTATAACATACACACCTTCCGATCTCCCCACTATAACATACACACCTTCTGCATCTCCCCACTATAACATACACACCTTCTGCATCTCCCCACTATAACATACACACCTTCTGTATCTCACCACTATTACATACACACCTTCTGTATCTCCCCACTATTACATACACACCTTCTGTATCTCCCCACTATAACATACACCCCTGCTGTATCTCCTCACTATAACATACACACCTCCTGTATCTCACCAATATAACATACACACCTTCTGTATCTCCCCGCTATAACATACACACCTCCTGTATCTCCCCACTATAACATACACACCTTCTGTATTTCCCCACTATAACATACTGGCCTTCAGTATAACCCCACTATAACATACACACCTTCTGTATCTCCCCACTATAACATACACACCTTCTGTATTTCCCCGCTATAACATACTGGCCTTCAGTATAACCCCACTATAGCATACACACCTTCTGTATCTCCCCACTATAACATACACACCTTCTGTGTCTCCCCACTATAACATACACACCTTCAGTATCTCCTCATTATAACATACACACCTCCTGTATCTCCCCACTATAACATACACACCTTCTGTATCTCCCCACTATAACATACACACCTTCTGTATCATCCCACTATAACATACACACCTTCTGTATCTCCCCACTATAACATACTCGCCTTCTGTATTACCCCACTATAACATACACACCTTCTGTATCTC